TCGGTCAACCTCCATCTTCACCCCTGACGCAGACAACTGATAACCCAAAAAGGAGATCGACTCCTGGAAAAACAGACATTTCTCTGCCTTGACATACAGGTCGTGCTCCAACAGCCTCCTCAACACTCGGCGCACCAGGGCTACATGCTCGGCTCGGGTAGAAGAGTACACAAGAATGTCATCAATGTACACGACCACACCCTGCCCCTGCATGTCCCTGAAGATCTCATCTACGAAGGATTGGAAGACTGAAGGAGCGTTCATCAACCCGTATGGCATGACGAGATACTCGTAATGACCTGAGGTGGTACTAAATGCTGTCTTCCATTCATCGCCCCCTCTAATGCGCACCAAGTTGTATGCGCTCCTGAGATCTAGTTTTGTGAAGAAACGCGCCCCGTGCAATGACTCCGTCATAGTCGCAATCAGCGGGAGTGGATAACTGTATTTCACCGTGATCTGATTGAGACTACGGTAATCAATGCACGGGCGCAAACCTCCATCCTTCTTCTTCACAAAAAAGAAGCTTGAGGACGCAGGGGAAGTGGATGGCCGTATGTATCCTTGTCTCAGAGATTCGGCTATGTAAGTCTCCATAGCTCTCTTCTCCTCTTGAGACAGAGGATACACATGGCTCAGTGGAAGCGCTGCTCCTGCCTGGAGGTCTATCGCACAATCTCCCTGCCTATGAGGAGGCAACTGCGTCGCCCTCGATTTACTGAACACGATTGCCAAATCCTCATACTCAGGGGGAATGTGCAGTGCGGGCACCTGGTTTGGACTCTCCACCGAGGTCGCCCCCACGGAAACACCTAGACATCGCCCCACACACTGGGCAGACCACTCCTTAAGAGCCCTCTGTTGCCACGAAATAGAAGGATTATGGGTAATCAACCAGGGAAGCCCCAACACCACTGGATACGCAGGAGAGTCAATCAGATATAGCTGAATAGTTTCCTCATGACCCCCCTGCGTCCTCATCCTAAGTGGCGCTGTGACCTCCCTAATCAACCCCGATCCCAAGGGACGGCTGTCTAAAGCATGGACAGGAAATGGGGCGTCGACTGGAAGAAGGGGAATTCCTAGTTTTAAACAAAAATGTCGATCAACAAAATTCCCAGCTGCGCCTGAATCTACTAGCGCCTTTTGCTGGGAATGAGGTGCAACCTGTGGAAAATGTACAGGTAAACAGACGTGCACAACAGAGAGCTCTGGGTAAGTGGGATGCCTACTCACCTGGAATGACTCCCCAGTGCGTGGCCTGTCGTCCTCTCCCCTAGGAGACCCTCCCCAGCACCTGGCCGCAGTGTGCCCTCCACGGCCACAGTTGGTGCAGGGGACAGCCCCCCTCGGGCTCCTCCTCCTCCTCTCTCTAGCGCCAGCACCTCCGAGCTCCATAGGGCTCGGCTCGGAGGTGCTGGAGGGTGGAATGGACGACCCCCACTCGGAACGTCCGCGGGTTGCCAGCAGGGTGTCAAGCCGGATGGACATGTCCACCAGCTGGTCGAAGGTGAGGTGGGCATCCCTGCAGGCCAACTCTCGACGGACGTCCTCCCGTAGACTACATCGGTAGTGGTCGATGAGGGCCCGCTCATTCCACCCTGCATCCGCCGCTAGAGTCCGGAACTCCAGGGCGAACTCCTGTGCACTCCTCCTCCCCTGTCGGAGGTGGAACAGACGCTCCCCCGCCGCCTTCCCCTCAGGTGGATGGTCGAACACTGCCCTGAAGCGGCGGGAGAACTCCGCGTAGGTGATGGTGGCGGCGTCTATTCCCCTCCATTCGGCGTTGGCCCACTCCAACGCCTTGCCGGTGAGACAGGAGATGAGGGCGGAGACGCTCTCGTATCCCGAGGGCGCCGGGTGTATGGTGGCCAGGTAGAGTTCCACCTGCAGGAGGAACCCCTGACACCCGGCTGCGGTACCATCATATGCCCTCGGGAGCGAGAGCCGAATACCACTGGGTTCCGGTGCTGGAAGAGGAGGACTGGCCGATGGTGATGGTAAGGTGTGCGGAGGTGTGGGCACCTCTCCGGTGACCAAACGGCGCAGAGTGTTAGACACCTCATTCATGGCGGCCCCAAGTTGCCGGATCATGGTGTCCTGATCGCTGATCTGTTCCTCCAGTGACTTGGGTGCCGCCGCTGCTCCTGCTGACTCCATGGGGGTGTGTTATTCTGTCAGGTGCTGATGTGGATGTGGTGTAGGAGTCAGGCGCAGGACACAGAGGCTTAGTCCAACAGACTTTACTTGTCATAAAGTGACAAAATACAAAATACGGGCCTCGAACAAACAGAGGCGAGCGATTACGCAAACTGTGCGTAAAAACACCAAAACAAATAAACAGAGCAGAAACTCGCAGCTCCTACGGACAGGCGGACAATAACACACAACACAAGACTAACCAAACGAGAAACGTATAGGAGACATAATCAACCAAACAGGAAACAGGTGTACACAATCAGACAAAACCAAACAGACATCGAAAACATCAAACGGTGATAGCTAGTACTCCGGGGACGACGACCGCCGAAGCCTGCCCGAACAAGGAGGAGGAGCAGCCTCGGCCGAAACCGTGACATGCAAGGACTATTGTTGCTAGGAAATGTCTCGCCCTCACAGGAGACTGTGTGGGAGCTGATTAGAAATGTATTTGTTTGTTTACAGAAAAGCAGGTTGATTTTGTTAAGTAAACATTTATTTTTTGATAGTTTGTATGATATATATTTTTTTCCCCCACATTATTTCCTTTTTGGGATGCTTATTATCCACCCGCACAGTAGGTTGCGGAATGCACATCCAATTGTTGCGAATGCCATTATACCATAGAAGAGGAAGAGACGACAGGTCTTCATGCACATTTTTTCATTGAAAAATACGGCACCAAACATTTCCTTTAGATGTAAAATTGCACAACTAAGATCTCTTAGGCAAAAACGTCCAAATTAATGACAGATTTCTTGAGTTCTTAGATTCATTCTGACTATTTTGAGGAAGTGTATACTGGCGACGGCGTATCAAAATGGACAAACTGTACCATTGCCGTTTGTCTTTTTTTTTTTCAAGCGGCCTTAAGGGAGTATGCGAGCACACTCGTTTGTTTCGGCTAGCCGAGTTCGGCTTGGCACCAGCCGAACTGAAGCAGGCTGACGCTGTCAACCCCGCGCATCACTACAGCAAGCTAACAACATTGGTTGCATGAGCTAACATTTTCCCACTGTGAACATGTGGCAAAGGGTTAACATAGAATAATGAATATTTGTACTAATGTAGAGTATTTTACTAATGCATTTGAACAGATAGTACATGTTCATATAGTTCATTATAAGGACTACTGCACTGGAATGAACAAGGACAATTATGGCAGTGTTATCCAGTCATATCAAAACAGACAAAAAGTCTATGAAAAACAAATGTATTATAATACAATTTTATTTCAAAATAGAGACTAAAAACAATGTACATATGAACATTTAAGAGGGCTGTAAAGTTGAGGCACTTCTACATAAACTTCTACAGCGACTGTCATTGAAGGCTAACCAAAGATGTGACTGCCAGGGATCAAACTGGGATTTTGAAGCTGGTACTCTCCCCTAAAATCGGTTAATTGGTTTTCCATAAATATATTTGATCAGACATCTTGCCAATGCATACTGTATGCCCAACTAAATCTGGACGATATTTAAAAAAAATTAATATCATGATAAATTGACTGAAAAAAACGGCATAAAATGTAGCTTCAATTTCACAAATTTAATAATTTTGGACAAAATATATGGTTTACAGGAGACTTATCAGACAGATGTTACAAAAGACACCAGGTAGCTAGGCAACGTTGTCCAAGACAAAAGTTTGTCTGTGAGCTAATAAATCTACAAGTCAGTGACAATATGAGGGACAACAATCTGAACTTATCATTCTCCCTTCATCCCCAATGTTACAATAACGTAAGGTTGATGATCCGTCTGCATGTCAGTTGAGTCTACACAAGAGAACAAAGCAGAAGTATTTGGCATGCTGGGAAGAATACACTGTAATACATTGTCTATTGTTATTATTCATTGTGGGGTGACCTATCTTTGCCCTGCCACCAGGTAGCCCTATATTTGTGCTTCTGCAACTCTTGTTTCAAGACTAAAAAGCCACATTTCCTTTGAGGATTCACCCCAGTGTTTTACCCAAAAGGCTCAGACTTTTCTCTTGCTTCTGCAACTCTTTCTCTGTGCTTCTGCAACTCTTGTTTTCAGACTCTAAGAACACTTTGCTTTATAATGGCTTTAGAAAAACATACACATTGTTTTGATTAGAAATTATATCATATTATGGTTAAACGTTTGTAAGTAGAATAAACAATTGACTAAACTCGGACACAAATCACATCGAATTTAATGGAAGACAAGGATTAAATAACATTTTCCCCAGCATATATTTGTTATGAGTTCCCCTTATTTCTTTGTAATCGTTTATTGATTTGTTGAGTGACCTGTATAAGTATACAAACCCTCTTATATGAGAAAAAAATAATGAAAAGGGATGGCCCTACAATACATTTAATTCACTTTTGAACATGGCCCAATGTGGAAATTGAAATGTGATTGTATTGAAGGAGTGTGCACAAATGACCTCAAACGTCTTATGATAAAGATGAGAACTATAAGTAATAATAAAGACAGGGATTCACAGGTGATTAATAAGTTAAATGTTTTTCTCTTTCTTTTCTATTTTTGAATGGACTATGCTAATTGTCATATAGATACAGTCTCTAACATTAATTTCACCCCAACACCACAATTTATGTCACATTCCCATACCCCACACCTCCAGAACACCTTATCTAGACGGTTTCCACTCAAACACCCACTAACGGTCATATTTACCTTGGCCAAAAATACTAACCCTTTCCCTTTTAACTCATCCCACCCACCCCTCTCTCCCAAAAACCTCTAAGCCCCATTCTACTTGTTCAGGCCTATCCCAATGCCATATATGACAGATTTCCAACTCTACAGTCCCCTTTTAGAGGGGGGGATAAGGTGTTCTGGCAGGTCAGTGGGAAGCTCGTGCCCCTCAAGCTTCACCTTGATCAAGTGATTGGCAAGGGCAAACTCTTCGTCGTCCAGGAAACCGTCCTTATCAACGTCAGCCAGCTTCCAGATCTTCCCCAGCACTGTGTTGGGCAGCTTGGACTTCACCATTTCCTTCTTGGCCATGGCGCCCGACACTTTGCCGTTGACAGGAGACAGGGTGTAGAAGATCTCGTCGTAGGTGGGTTTGTCTCGTGCCACCACCCACTCCAGCTCATCAATGCCCTCGCCTGCACCCTCGCCGTAGCCATGGCCGAAGGGCCCATTCATGGTGCCCTCGAAGGCGCCACCTTGGACTGACTGGCTGGGCATGGCTGCCTCCTCCTGGCGGACGAGGGTCATGAGTTTGGCGATGTCGTTGGATAGCATGTCCTCAACGGCCTCCAGCAGCTTGGGCTTCACCACCTGGAACTTACTGAAGTCCTGGTTTGCCAAGATCTCCTGTGTGTTCATAAAAGTGAAAGGAGGTCAGGGGAATTCTAGTCAAGTAAAGGTATCTGCAATGCTCATCACCACTACTACCGCTATCATTACTTACATGGCCACTTCGGTTAACATAATTACTAGCTCCACTGGAAAAATAAATAATATATATTTGTGTACCTGCATCTTAGCTAGTTTGGGGAAGTCTCCGGGTGAGATCTGGTGCTCTTTCTCAATCCTGGTGTAGATCTCCCCCAGGTTGGCGATCAGCTCCTTCTTCTTATTATCCTTCCCAAACATGTTGGGCATCTCCTTCTTTAGAGAGCTGATGATGTAGGCGTGGACCTGGAGGGAGGGAAGACTAAATAAATCACATCTGGACCTAAACAGCTAACCACTGATCAATTTTGATTTTGGCACGAGGGTGATACAATAATGCAGTATAGTAATTGCTTTCGGAGATTAATGTTACTGTTAACATGCCCCAACATTTGAGACCTAGGTCTCACCTTGGCGAGGCGAGCCCGCTTGATGAGGTCATTGAGCTTCCTCAGAGCAGCATTCCGAGGCAGCCCCTGGATGTCCTTGAAAAGGTCCTGTTCCTCGGCCTCAAAAAGCTTCCGGTTGTCTGGGACCAGGAGCGGCTGAGCCCAAAAAGAACCGATGTACACCCGGATCACCTCTGGAGTGCCGACAATTTTACCAAGAGACCACATGAGGGCACCATAGACCCTCATCAGCTGCTGCGTGCCAATCTGGTCAGCCTTGTTCAGAACCACCCGCATCTTGTCCTCATGGTTCTTCAGGGCGCGGATAACCTCAGAGAACTCGTCTGAGATGTCCAGTTTGTGGGCGTCGAAGAGCAGGATGATGCGGTCAACACGCTCGGCAAACCACTCCAGCACTGCAGCAAAGTCATAACCTGAAGAGAGGAAAGAGGAACATTTTATAAGGGATGTGAAATCTTCAAAACAAACATGTGAATTAAATCCTTTTATCAAAAGGTTAAGATTTAAATCATATGAAAATGGTGTGAGATGTAGTCAAACAAATTCCAGCCCAACACAAGTTAAGGCATCTGTGATCATGTAAGGAGTGTAAATATTCACATAAATCCACACCAACTTGATTTCAATTGTGTGAGCCGCTCCTAGTAGTCCATGGGCCACCCACCAAAAAAAGAAAAGGCATTCCGTTACCCAGGAAACAAAACTTTAAGTTTCAACATCATTACGTAGATACTTTTATGAATATGAACACTGTGGTTCAAAACTTGTGTAAGTTTAACATTAATTGTTTTATATCTTTAATCAAAGTTATGATTAGAGGAAATATATTTTAACCATGGAAATATGTTTTAACCATGTACAGTGGTTTTCTGAACAACATTTCTGGTGGGTGACCCTTAGACTATAGTAAGAGTGTTTGTTTCTCTATGCAAATCAATAAACTCAGATTCCAGCTAATCCTGTCTCTATGGTCCCTCTCCACACGGCAACAGACACACACCCACCCAGCTACAGATCCAAAAACAGGTATATTTTACAATGAGAGAGACAAAATGTGTTTTTCCTGTGCCAGGAAAACCAAACAACACCCTCCTCCATCTTCCTCCCTCTTCTCACAGTGTGACACCGACACTGACCCTTCACCCATGACCTCCAGAGCATAGAAATGGATAAAGCAGAATCCAGTTCATTGAACGTGACACACCTAGTAAAGCCTTATGAAATTGATGTGATGATGCAAGCGAGTTTGGGCCTCACATTTCACCCTCATGTTCTAAAAGATAAGCATCAGGTATTATTCATAGTTGTTTTCTGGAGCACAATTTGTTGAACCCTAGCCTATATAAACACACTGAACAAAAATATAAAACACAACATGCAAGAATTTCTAAGATTTTCCAGTTCATATAAGGAAATCATTACATTTAAATAAATAAATTAGGCCCTAATCTATGGATTTCACATGACTGGGAATACAGCTATGCATCGGTTGGTTGATTGTGGCATGTGGAATGTGGTCCCACTCCTCTTCAATAGCTGTGTGAAGTTGCTGGATATTGGCGGGAACTGGAACACGCTATCGTACAAGTCGATCCAGAGCATACCAAACATGCTCAATGGATGACATGTCTGGTGAGTATGCAGGCCATGGAAGAATTGGGACATTTTCAGCTTCCAGGAATTGTGTACAGATCCTTGCGACATGGGGCCATGTATTATCATGCTGAAACATGATGTGATGGCGGCGGATGAATGGCACGACAATGGGCCTCAGGACCTCGTCATAGTATCTCTGTGCATTCAAATTGCCATCGATAAAATGCAATTGTGTTCGATGTCCGTAGCTTATGCCTGCCCATACCATAACCCCACCGCCACCACAGGGCACTCTGTAAACAACGTTGACATCAGCAAACCGCTCGCCCACACAACGCCATACACGTGGTCTGTGGTTGTGAGGCCGGTTAGACTTACTGCCAAATTCTCTAAAACGACATTGGAGGCAGCTTATGGTACAGAAATTAACATTCAATTATCAACCAACAGCTCTGGTGGACATTCCTGCAGTCAGTATGCCAATTGCACGCTCCCTCAAAACTTGAGACATCTGTGGCATTGTGTTGTGTGACAAAACTGCACATGTTAGTGGCCTTTTATTGTCCCCAGCACAAGTTGCACCTGTGTAATGATCATGCGGTTTAATAAGCTGCTTGATATGCCACACCTGTCAGGTGGATGGATTATCTTGGCAAAGGAGAAATGCTCACTAACAGGGATGTAAACAAATTTGTCCACAAAATTTGAGAGAAATTAGCTTTTTGTGCGTATGGAAAATTGCTGTGATCTTTTATTTCAGCTCATGAAACATGGGACCAACACTTTACATGTTGCTTTTATATTTTTGTTCAGTGTATATATTTCACTCCAGAATAGAAGAGGATTCAATGTTTTTAAGCGATTGTTTTTGATCAACATGCAAAGGAAACCGTAAGACAAATTCTTGGTTCTGAATGAGGACAGACACTTTATACATTGCATTTGTCCCATCAAACTAGACATTCACAGTGATCTTTTAAATGAATGAAAGTCCATTCTATCCACTCTATTTCTACGACAGGGATGGCTTCTCCCCACCTCCACACACACACACATATCCTCCCCTGAATGACAAACAGGAAAGAGCCTTTGGCGCATAAATTGTGCAGCGGGGAGACACTGGGCCCACGAAGAGACCTCTTCCTCGCCTCTGTTTAGAATGGTTATTTATTTGTTCATTCTGAATTGAACTAGAGGGCAGCAGGGCACTAACTCTGCCTTGGCACGCTGTGCTGGAGGTGGAGACTAAACATAGTAATTGTGGCCATTCCCTTAAAAAAAACTAGCAACGTCCAGTTTCTAAAATCGGTTTGGGAAGTAAAATGCAGAGAACAGTCTGACTCAGCGTTCCATTTGAGCAGCGAAAAACAGATTTGTCTTCATCTGATCTCACCATCTCTCTCGCTCTCTCTTACACATACATTAAAATACCTCCATTGTAAATGGTGCAGAGCTTTTTGTTATATGCAATAACTAAGCTACTCATAGCCTAGAAAAAAGACATAAATAAAATCATATTTCTGCTGATTCAACCAGAAGAGAAGCCCTAAAGGCATCAACCTGTCTGTGTGTGTAAAGCCTGATCTTGCTCTTTTTTCCTGTCTGTCGAAGGATTAGTGCTCGACTAATCATTAGCAATTGGGAAAAGACGAGAGACAAGATCCAACACAGAGTCAATTAAACAGTACAGTAGTTTGTTAGAATTATGTTATTCACTAGGATAATAAGCACAGAGAGTACTAATAATGGTGGCTGTAGTGAATCACAGGAAAGTATTCTTCCGTCAGCCTGGGTTTTGTGTCGATGTCAGCAGGATGTGTGATCTCTGGACCGATCCAATGAGGGCGTCACCTGGCAAAGTCCACGAGAACAGCTCCTCTTATCTCTACTCCCTTTAAGGAGGGATGTGCTGGTAATAAAGTCAGGGATGTCAAATCTACACCGAGGAGATTAAAAAGAACAGCACTGCATGTCACAATTCTTCACATTTAACCTGAAGGTTAATTGTTGCCACACCACATTGTAATTGAACAATCAATCTCTGGTGAAATAAAGTTGAACACTTCAAGGTGAGCTCAATCACAAGAGAGAAGGGACATTCTGGATATCTTTGAGAATGTCCAACCTCACCTCGTACCAGCCAATCAACTATATGTCAGGCCCACCCAGTCTGTTTCAAACAATGGCATTATTCATCATCTTATTCACTGATCTGCCTGATACAGATACGGTCAGGGTCAATTCTGCACTTCTTGCATTAACTAAAGAGTTGAATTGCCCCCAACCCTGGAGTGAGACAATTATTGGTGGAAGGTATTTTTCAGTTGTGTTTTTCCAGCAGCACAGCTAGCTAACCCGTCTTCCTTATTACAAACTTTAGGTAACACACTACATGGCCAAATCAGTGGATTCGGCTATTTCAGTCACACCCGTTGCTGACAAGTATATAAAATCGAGCACACAGCCATGCAATCTCCGTAGACAACCATTGGCAGTAGAATGGCCCGTGCTGAAGAGCTCAGTGACTTTTTGTGGTCCTCTGTAGCTCAATTGGTAGAGCATGGCGCTTGTAACGCCAGGGTAGTGGGTTCGATCCCCGGGACCACCCATACGTAAAAATGTATGCACACATGACTGTAAGTCGCTTTGGATAAAAGCGTCTGCTAAATGGCATATTATTATTACTTTCAACGCGGCACCGTCATAGGATTCCACCTTTGCAACAAGTCAGTTGGTAAACTTTTTGCCCTGCTAGTGCAGCTTCGGTCAACTGTAAGTGCTTTTATTGTGAAGTGGAAACGCCTAGGAGTGGTAGGCCACACAAAATCATAGAACGGGATTGCGGAGTGCTGAAGCACGTAGCGCGTAAAAATTGTCTGTCCTCGGTTGCAACACACTACCGAGTTCCAAACTGCCTCTGGAAGCAACGTTAGCACAAGAACTGTTCGCCGGGAGCTTCATGAAAAGGGGTTTCCATGGCTGAGCAGCCGCACACAAGCCCAAGATCACCATGCGCAATGCCAAGCGTTGGCTGCAGTGGTGTAAAGCTCGCCGCCATTGGACTCTGGTGCAGTGGAAACGTGTTCTCTGGAGTGATGAATCACGGTACACCATTTGGCAGTCCGACGGACGAATCTGGGTTTGGCGGATGCCAGGACGATGCTACCTGCCCCAACGCATAGTGCCAACTGTAAAGTTTGGTGGAGGAGGAATAATGGTCTGGGGCTGTTTTCCATGGTTCGGGCTAAGCCCATTAGTTCCAGTGAGGGGAAATCTAAGCGCTACAGCATACAATGACATTCTAGACGATTCTGTGTTCCAACTTTGTGGCAACAGTTTGGGGAAGACCCTTTCCTGTTTCCGCATGACAATGCCCCCGTGCACAAAGAGAGGTCCATACAGAAATGGTTTGTCGAGATCGGTGTGGAAGGACTTGATTTGCCTGCAGAGCCCTGACCTCAACCCCATCGAACACCTTTGGGATGAATTGGAACGCCGACTGCGAGCCAGGCGTAATTGCCCAACATCAGTGCCCAACCTCAGTAATTCCCTTGTGGCTGAATGGAAGCAAGTACCCGCAGCAATGTTCCAACATCTAGTGGAAAGCCTAACCAGAAGAGCGGAGGCTGTTATAGCAGAAAAGGGGGGACCAACTCCATATTAATGCCCATGATTTTGGAATGAGAAGTTTGACGAGCATGTGTCCACATAGCTTTGGCCATGTAGTGTATCTGCTATCAGCAACTATCTGCTATGAATGCACGCATGGAGTTGAGAACGATACCAAACCAGGAGAGATCATTTCTCATTTCAAAATGATGCAATGATAGAGAATGTGGCACTGCCTAGGGTGAGAA